AGGTATGTGAAATATTGACACTACTCTGTGAATCTTCATGGCCAAGGTAGAATTTGAACCCAGGTAACGTGAATTTGACCAAACTCAGGGAGGGAGTTGAAGACAGAAGGGCCTGGCATGCTCTGGTCTGTGGGGTCATGAAGAGCTGGACATGACTTAACGATTAAACAACAACAACTCCTGAGTCCTAGAATGATGCTCTAATTATACATCTCAATGAAATTTTCTGCATTTTTTAAAAATAAGATTCCTATGGAAATGACATGAAATAGTCTTTTGGAAGCACACGTGCAAATGAAATATGGGCTAAAAAGTAGGCTGGTTTGTCCATTTCTGGATCACAGAGAAACTGAATGTAGAACAGAATCTCCCCAGTGAACTGTTCAGTAAAAGTGGCAGATGGCATCTAAGGCAGCCAGACAGAGATTACCAGTGCAGCCCATAAATTAGGGAAACTGAAGGGTTTGTTTTTAAGTCCGTTTAGTGCTCTTATTAGAAGCTGCAAAGCTTTTCCTTTCTGAGCACAGCTGCCCATCAAAGGCAATAACACCACCAAACAGCGTTCATTCCGAGGTTGTCAGGTCTCAGGGTGCAGGTCTCAGGATGTCATTTTGTGCCTCAGTCTGAATGAGTTGCTGTGCTTCTCTGAGACATCAGGTGGGGACAAACATCTTGGGCCAGGCAGCCTTGGTGGAGAAGAGAGTCTGATTTTTTTAAATTTTTTATTTTTATTTTTTGTCTGCAAGAGGACTTTAAAGTCATCTCCACCCATTCCCAGTGGGTGCTGTCTCCTGTGACATCAGAAGGACCTGTACCCCCCCGGTGTCACATTTTGGTCTTGAAATCTGAGAGAATGAGATGGTGCCAACCTGGCTGCCCTAGCTTACTCCAAGCACATTAGCTATGTCATTTTGTGCCTCATGGATGGCAGCACTTTCTGAACGTAAAAAAAACCACTGGCTTGCTTTGTGATCTGTTTCATCCTAAAAGGAGTACTTGGGTTAAGAAAGCTGCTAAGAAGCAATCCTGTCTCATTCCCAATCCATTCCTCTTGGTGGACTGGCTTGCCTACCTACTTTGCAGTCATGCCTAGCTGGTTCCTTGAATATGGGACGGGGCTAATTTTTTTAAAGAAAAGACAATAGATACACACAGCCATCATGATTCTGCACTTAGGTTATGAGTTTTGCTTTTTATGACCAAAGGACTGGATTGAGCTGGACTAGATCCTCTTTGGAAAGCATCTCATGTTAATGATAAGAAAACTCTTGTCCATCATGTACAAATGCACAATTAATATTGATCACTTTATTTGTTTAAGTAAGTGGATAGGGAGGGTGTGCATCAGTGCATTAATAGCAAATATGATCTTTCAATTATATTGGCCCTACTAGAACACTACTGTGGTTTCTGAAATGAGATTAATGATCCCTCAGGAAGGCCATATTAGACTAATGTGAATGGATCATTTCCTTAATGTATAGAAACTCATAATTTGCCAAATGTTATGTCCATGTTTATTGCAAGGTCTGAAACAAAAGGAGCTGACACTTGTAGCATTTTCAAAATATACTGATTTTTCTTTATCCAGGAATTTATTTTTAAACCAGTTAGCAAAAGGCACAGGCCAAAGGGGCAAGAAGCCACTATCAACATAAGAAATATACATTATGTCAGAGAAGATAAATAAGTCTTTTTCTGATTTTTTCCCCAACGAAGTGAAGAAGTGAAACCTAGAAACTCTTTTGATGCAGAGCATTTTTTAAGTGTAGTTGTTTAATTAAGGTGCTGGCCTAACACATTTTGCTGACGGAGACAAAGCAGTGAGTTGTACCTGCTCCAGCCATCAAATGACACAAGACAAGATGCAAAATAGCTTGATCCCAGCTCTGTTATTTTGGGCACATGCGCCAGAAAATCCCACAGGCTCCTTACTCCAACTCTTACAGTAAAAATAAAACAATAACAAATTAAATACCCATCCATTTCTTATCCTTCCATGCCATCCATAATCTGCTATCTCATTCTGCTTGATGGTAACACTGGTCCTGCTTATCTCTCCAGACAGGGGAAAAGCTGAGGACATCCTTTTGTTTCTTTTTGGCCTTTTTTTATTTCAGGAAATGATTAGGCAATTTCCAAACTTCTTAATTCTTCCCCTATGCAGAGCGACCTCTGGCACATGGAAGCAAAACAGCAGACAGATTCTTAATGGCTGTAGATTCCAAAGGACACTTAATTTCATCTGTTTTCCTCACCTGTGGTCCTTCCATAGTAACTTCTCTAAATCAAAACCATTTCACCTTCTCCTGGATTTTAGAAATAAATAAATCTGTTTTGGACCAGAGCTGGCTCAAGAGGTTGGGTATTTCTGGAACACTACCAACAAAGATTTCCAGTATGGTATAGTGAATAGAATGAGAGATTGTCCCCCAATTAGTGGGATCCCATACAAATTTCTAAAGAACTCTGTGGTCAAAAATCTGTACGGCATTGATATATTTTCCTGATGGCTTGTTGATTTTCTACCTTCTTCAAAACTGGGAAGAGAACATAAGGGAAGGCTTTTACAATACAACAGCAGGAGTTTTATTTAAGTAGATAATAGAGACCTCCAGCACATGGAAGAATTTAGTTATGCAATAACTTGTTCCACATTTCATCACTAACCCCCCCGCCGCCAAACAGGCAACCTTTTCTATAACTCTGATTTAAGTACAGTATTCCTTCCAACCTTGAGGAATGTGACAAGAACATTCCTTACATTGGGAAGAAACGTGCAAATCAGGGTTACTGTTCTTCTAAGTCACTAATATTTTGCCATTACAGATTCTGTTACATGGGTACACTGTGGGTGATACAAATAGGCAGGAGGAAAAGAAATACCTGTTAAGGCATATTACCCACCCAGGAGTCACCAATTTAGTACTAGATTGCTTCATTTACTTCTGACCCAGAGGTAAAGGCAAAATGGAGCACCAACAGCTCCATTAGAGAAGGAACTGTGATACTGAGTCACAGAGATGTTTCCCTGGAATTCTTTTAATTTTATAGCTAAGGGAGGAGGGAAAATAATTCTAAAGATTGTGTAACACAATGAAGAATGTACCTTAGGTTAATCCTGTTCATTCATTCTCTAATCAGCTGTTTGCTAAAGACTGTGAATTGCTCATACGTATGTTTGGTTTGACCCAGCTCAAAACCACTGAAACCACTTGATTCACACCAAACATCTAACCATAACCATCAGCCTCTACAGCAAGGGTAGACAAAGTGGAGAGGAGGTTCAAATAGGTCACAGTTGCCCCAATACTATTTAGCACTCAAATATAACAAATGTCCAATCTTTCTTTGGATCTCTGGACGTTTCTAGATTTTTTTTTCATATTTTCATTCCTCACCCTGTTTCTTTCCCCTTGCCTTTCCCATGGTCTGAGTCTCTGTGAGGTTTTCTAAGGGTCCTGGAGACATAAAGCTGGATGGGGAAAGTGTGGCCTTCCCAGTGCAGTTGGATGATCTTTCACCATTAGCCCCGTTCATTCGCCCTGATGAAAGCTGCAGTCCACCAATATCTAGAGGTTCATAAGTTCTCTACTCTTTTATTTACAAAGATGTGACTCTTGAGTGGATGTCTCATTTCAGATTGCAGGTAGAAGACCACATATCTAACCTTCCCCAATATAGTGGTGCGCTGCTTGATGATTAGCTCATTAGATGAGGAAATCGCTTAACGATATTTGTATGTTTTTTTTAAACGATGATCGGTTCCCAGCTTCGAGAACTGATTTTTCGCTTAAAGACGATCAAAACAGCTGATCATCGGGTTTTCAAAATTGCCACCTGCTGTGCAAAATGGCTCCCCGCTGTGTTTTAGGA